TAGAATTATCCATGAATTGCTCGTTTTGTAACAATACGCTTATTTTTGCCAGAGATAAAATCTCGAAAATTTAGAAAATAATCACTCGATTATCTTATCTCCAAATGCAATATTTTTTTTAAGCTAAAATTAACCTCTCGCCATTACTGGTTAGACTAGTTCCACTAGCTGTAAGGGTAAAAAATTTCCAAGCTGCACGATGTGATACCATCGGACACTTATGAATTAATTATTTCACCCATAATAAAAGCAAGGTTTTATTAATAAAAGATTTTTCCATATCATTCGACGACCAAATATTATTCCTTTATTAATCAAATCCTTCTATCCTCTATTCTTTTTTTCCTCATTTAACCTATTTCATTTGCGATATATTATTTGTATTTCCTCTCTTTCTATCAATTCCCTTCCCCCACCCCTCCCCTCTCCCTTTTCTCTTACTAAGTTACAATGTAGCATTACAAAACGATGGGAAAAATTTAATGTGTTTTTTTAAAATTGTATATCTAAAAACAAGTTTTTTATATATCAAATAGATCAAATATCTTGAACCACTATTAAGAAGTGAAAGCATCCACTTAGTATAAGGAGAATAGCAAATAATTCCTCTTTTCTCAATGCTGATCACATGAAAATTTTTTCTAAATGACTTTCTTATCAATAATCTTTTTTGAAAATAATTCTCTTAACCAGTAATCATTTGAATTCTAATTATGGACTTTCTTGAATGTTCTTGTCAATTTTTTATAATATAAAGTCTATGGAATAAATTTAATTGTTGTTACGCATCGCCCGCATTATTGGATTCTTTAGTTTATATATATATATATTATAATATGAAATAAATTTAATTGTTTAATTAATATAATTATATATATATAATTATATAATTATAATTGTATATATATATATATATATATATATACAATTATAAATTCAATTTCATTAATTATTATTTTATAACGCAAGATTAAATAATAGCAAAACAACTAATGAAATTTATTGAAGCAGAAACGATTTATTCAGTTATTTGTATATATATATATATATATATATAAATACATATACATATATATATAGTATATATTTGTATATATATATAATTTATATATATGTATATATATTATATATTATTATATTATTTTATAGCATTTTCAGAATTTTTCAATATTATTGTTGAATTCTCGGAAAATAAAGAACGATGAATATAGTGAATTGAATTTATGAGGAATAAAAAATAAATTATTTTTGCTAAATTCTACAATAATAATGATTGTGATTATCGCTAAATTTTCTAAAAAAAACTATTCTCTAATGCAATAAATAAAATTTTCTAATTATTTTCTAATGTTTAAAAAATTTACTAAAAAATAATTAATAATCAATAAGAAATTTACGACAACGAATAACGAATATGATTAAATCCAATTCGAATATAGCAACTATTGGTTTGGCCGAAAAACAATGCCGTAAGCCAAAAACACTTTTCAAAAAATCTTATTCATCATTTATCAATAATAAGATATGTGCGTTCAATGCAAAACCAGCACTTGATGTTATTAAAGAGTTAGTTTTTTTTTTTTTTTTTTCGCTGCTTGGCTTAAATATTTTATATATGGTCAAGTTTTTTTAATATAGCCTAGTAATATCTAATATTTCTCCATTCGATTTTTAGATTAATATAGAAAGTTGTTTTTTTTTTTTCTTAAACTAAATTTATAAATTTTTTCACGAAGAAATTAAGCAAAGCCGACTGATTGCGCACTGATTTTCATAGAAATTAAATTGCCTTCGCTGAAATTTTATCTAAAATCGTCAAATTTAATTTTTTATCCTTAAGAATCAATTGGAGAAATTTTTAATTTTAGTTTTATTAAACATGTTCAAATGAAATTTCATAAATTCTTTTCAACTAGATGAAAAGTATAAATTTCAATTAATTCTAATTGTATAAGCAAAAACAATACAGCTAGTGACTCAAGTCGATCGCTCGATTCAATATCATATTTGATAGTAATACTCCTTGCATTTGAGTTCACCTAGCATAAAATGAATGAGCCTATTTACTAGGGAAAAAGCATTTTTAGCTGTAGTTGAAGGTTTATCATTATTGTTATTATATTATATATTATTATATATATATATATACATTATTTTATATATATATATATATATGTATATATTATTATTGTATTATTATATTACATATTGTTATATATTTATTATTATTTTTATATTATTATATTATTATAATTATATTATATATATATATATATATTAATATTGTATTATATAATACATTAATTATAATTTATTCATTTCAATTAATTTTACTCCATAAAATTTTTTTTAAGATTTATATTTTTTGCTTCGTCATTCAATAAAAGATATTTAAAGAGAAAAGTGGTTATTAAAATGAATTTTTATTTGTACAGACAGTGAAAAAAAAAAATGTTTCACATAATCAATTTAATAAATAAATTAACATAATTTTTCTAATTTTATAATCAATTAGGAAGAAGAGTTGTCCTACAGACTTGGGTTCAAATTTGAGAAGTTTTTTATCAAAAAATTGGACTCACAATGAAATTGATATCTGATCTTCAGGCGTCGGCATAACCCTTACTATCTCTTTCAATCTCGCTATACTCCTTTTATATCCAACCTTATTATCCTATTTTCATATTAAATTGTAGTCAATTGTAGTTAATTTTAGTCTTTCAATTTGCACTGTCTTACCTACCTCTAACACAAATCATAATTATTATTACTTTCCTACATAGAGCACAGACTATAAAGATTAAATCATAATGAAATAAAGATTAAATTATAAAAAAGTATAGAAAAAATTTCAAAATTTAAAGATTGAGCAATAATTAAGGATATTCTCTACGTGGCATAGAATGGCACGGTTGCTTAATTCGAAGCCTGTGCCGAGATTCTTCCACTCCTCGCAGGAGTAAGCTATATCCAAAAATAGATGGACTGATTCACCGGTACTTCTATCGTTAAGGGTTTCCTTCGCATATTTATTCAATGCGATAAGCCAGCGAAACGAGTTTAGCAAGTAATGCTGAGGGTATTTTAGAAAAGAAAGAAAAATATCTTCATAGAAAAAATAAATTGTAAAAAAAAATATTGTGGTGAAATAACTTTTTAGAAATTGAATCAGGAATATAACGAGGCTTGAAGTAGTCCTAAGCATTTTTAGTAGTCCTAAGCATTAATGCAAGGATTAATAGAGATTTATGGTAGAAAGATTGGAGAACTAAGATTAGGTACTCTTAACGTAGCATAATGCATAATGGATTTCCACGAGTCTCTAAAAAAAGCACACAATGAAGTTTGATCAACTTCCGCTGGCTATAAAGGTAAGATGTCTCGAAATTGCTCGGTCATTGCTAGTAGCAATAGAAGCTGTCTTTTTTCACTGCATCACTGGTCCCCCTATACGTTTAAAATCTTTACTGACTGTATCAATCCAGGTTTTGATTGGCCCTCCACGTTTTTGACGCCAACCATCAAAGAGTCCGGCAAGTGGCGAAATATACGTCAACTCCTGTGGTAGACAACGGAGAATGTGCCTTCACCAGCGAAGGTGTGTGACAACAGGTGGTATTTATATATGCGATTTTATCCACTCGACGGATTTGTAAATTTATCCTAGATATCAGTGGTGAAAGGCTAATATTATACCTTAATATCTTCCACTCTCAATAGAATATTCCATGCTATAATGTTAAGGTGAATGATTTAGGGTAATATAAAGAAGATTGTGGAAAAAGAATACAGCAAGATTTGAAACGTAGAAAATAACCTTCAATATCTGCGTGAGGGCTTCTGAATATAAGGTGTAGAGATACGAAAGGTTTTCCATTTATAGTGATTAGTTGAGGTTTACGAGTTTTTTTTCGCAGCTTACGGGTCCTTTATATGAATAACTTACTTTATAAATGAATGTAGCGAAAAACGATAATTTTAGCATTCGAGAAAAAATTGAGGAAACTTTTCTTGAATTAATAAAACAAGTAGTTTTCGCGTGAAATATGTATATGCGTGAGTTTAATTCCTTTAAGTATTCAAGCAGCATAAGAAGAACGCTATGAATTTACTAAGCAATTCCAGAATATTACTTTCACAAATGGATTGTGGCACCTTACTAAATCGAGTTTGACGTATTTCCAGAAAACTTCCAGAGAATCTTTAGTATCCATGGTGATTTAAAGCTAATTAATCTAACTTCTAACTTCATACGCATTTCAGTTTTTAATAATCGTTTGAAACTCCTCTAAAATCATTTGCTACTTAAAATTTAAAGTTATCTTGGATGGTGTACTACAATACTAGGCAATAGGTATCATGGAGTAATATTCTAACACTTTGGACTAGAAATGTCCAGCTCTTTGGCTTCAACCATACTGACTAGAAAGCAATTGTCCTTGGTTATAAATAAAAATTTAATTAAGTATAAAAAGTTTATTTTTCATATTTTTTATTAAAAAATTAAAAGAAAGTAGGTGGAAATAAAATTGATGGAATATTGATGGGCATGGTTTTCTTGAAATTAATGTATCAATGTCGATCTGTTTTTTCGATAGAAAATCATATAAAATGAGGACCGATATGTGGTCAATTGTCCACTTGTCTTGGATATTCCTATTAAAGAATATTATTCTTTTTGCATTATAATTAAAATTAGTCACAGGTATAAAATTTAACTCCATGCAATATAGCCAAAATAATTTTCACAATCTGTTAATTCTTTCGAGTAATGGAATAGGCTTTATTTTTTTGTAATGCGCGATTTTTCTCTTTACTTAATTTACAATCATACTGAAACGCATTACTAATATTACTATTATTATTAGTATTAATTTTTATCATTATTAATATTTATATTATTACTAATTTGCTATAACATTTACTTGAAAAATATGATATATTCCCCATAATGATAAGAATTAAATTATCAGAATTTGCGTTCCTCAGACTTATCAAATATGATAGTTGGGGATGCTTATGGATTTTATCAGCTTATTCTCAGAAAGCATGCTTGCAGGTATGCCCTATTTTAGCGCTATCACTCTTTTGATGAAACAGACTAGCATGGCCATATTCAAAGTTTCGATCCTAGTTAGATATAATTCATTAAAATGAGTGGTAAATTAGACCAGCAGCACAAATTTCTAACAGCCTTTTTTTTTCTTAAATGCTTATAGTAAAGATTAATAACGATTAAATTTCACGGAAATCTTACGAGGCGTTAAGTAAGCGAGATGATACACCAGTACGATATTGTCCGTAAGCAGATTGGCTCATAGGCAGCCAAATACAGATTGTATCTGTTGGCCTTATTTTTTTGGCACAAATCTTTAAAAATTAGCTTAATTAAGATTAGCAGTCATAGATTTAGGATTAAATCATTTTCTATCGACCATAAACCGTTTATTTTTGCAGGCTACGTTATATTTTGCATCAACTAAACAGCGGTCAACTTCCTTTAGAAGATCTCAAGCATAATCTCGAATATGCAGCACTCATACTTGAAGCTGCTTATATTGAAGAAAATAGGCAAGTTGTTTTTATTTTATATTTTATTAAACATTTCAAATTCAAATACGTTAAATTTTTTAATTTATCATATGTGCCATAAATTCCAAATATTTATCAAATTCATGAAAGCCATTGATTATCATTTATTGATAAATAAGTCTATAAATCTAATATAAAATTTTGCATGTTTTTCAATTTTATTTCAGCTTTTACATGAGTATTATTGCTTATTAGTTTTGCGCTTTTCATGATAATTTAAAATTTTTTGCATAGAATTGAATTCAACTATATCTTAGAATTAGTTAGAATTAGAATTAATTAGAATTCTTTAAAAAATTTTTTAATGTGAAAAATTATTGGAAAAGAGACAAATAATTAGTAATTTTAATAAATCTGCAATGAATTTTAACAAAATTTCTTCATTTCTTTTATAAGACAAAACTTTCTAATTCTTTAAAAAAAAATTTGCATTTTGTTTTTTTTTGACGCCAGTGGTTCCAATTAAAGATGAAATGGCTCAGTGGATTATTGCACTTATTTCGCAGAACAAATGCTAGAGATCTAGTCCCAGCAGGCGTATGCCTATTTTTTCAATAACCCAGATAGTGCATCCCCACTCGTATTTTTATTTGCCAAGTGATTGCTTGGTAAAATTTGTAATATAATTTAATTTATAATATTTATAAAATTTGTAAAATTTGTAACTTTGTAATTGATGAACTAGCGAGGTGAACCTAACTAGATTTGGTTACAAAATTAGATAAAATTGGAAAAATGCGAAAATATCGATAGAAAAATTGTGATTAAAAAAAAAAAAAAACAAATAATGAATTAATGAACAAATTTATATTTTTAGTTATAAAATTTTTAATTAAAATTATTAGATTGGATAACTTAGATATTTTAGAATATTTGCCAAATATTCTATGTAATATATTCTTTTAAAACTTTTAAGGCTGAGGTATTCGCCTGGCTAAGAGCATTTTAAAGATTTTCTTTCAACTTTTCTTCCTTGCACCATTGCTGAATTTCAATAGTTCCATTAGCGGCTGGAATAAGATGAGATGTGATATTTTTATATCTCCAAATTCGATATCATGGCAAAAAGTAGTTGAAGCCATCATTTTTTTCATTTGGCTTCAAATGCTTTTCCCATCGTTCCAATCGGAATGGTTTCATCTTATTCACATTTCAATTTAATTCTCTTAATAGATAGAGATGTTCTTTAATAGTTAGAGAGATTTTCATCTTCATCTAATCTCGGATCATTTCACGAACTGCCTCTTGAATTATATTCCTTAGTGAATTGGCCAGAATAATTTCTGATTCGTCTATTCGTCTACATTCAAGGCCACATCCTTCCAGTGTAGTTCAGCCTTGCTGCAACCAGAATATGTGGAGCTGCATTCTGGTGATAAGATAATTTGCTTGAGATACAGCTTACCTTCTTCCACTCTTATTTTGGAACATGTTTTTAAAATTGGACCGGTGTTCATCGCACGATCATCACCAATGCTGAAATATTTTAGACTAGATATGACTGTATATTTCAAATGTTATGCCAATTACTCTCAAAATCATCTCGCTTTGAGGTAAAAAAAAAGCATTTCTGATGCCATGTTGTTGCCCTGCGGACTTAACTCTGACCATAATTGCTCCTCGCCATCAATTTCACTTCAGCGGTCCACACGATTATCTAATGACTGACTAGAATATAATCAGTATGGCTAAATGTTTGTTGCCCAGAAAGTTCTAAGCAAAGATGTCTAATCCAGTGCTAAAAACATATGTTGGCGGTTAAAAAGTCTATACTCCTCATCAAATTGGAGAAGATAATCATATTAAATAGATATGGTATGCATTCGTCTGCCCTTTATTTTTATATCGTTTTTTTTGGAAAAAATGCTTTTAAAAGATTAATTTCTTTACAGAATCTTTATCGAAATTATTATGAACGGTATAACAATGGCTAAAACCGAGCTTAGAATCAACCAAAGTTTGCCACACTTCTTTTACTAGACTAAACTATTTCCTCGAGAATACTATTTGCTTGCCCTGTTTTTCGTAGTGTGCGTCACAAGAGTAGTAAATGCCATGTACTTTGGAATATTTGCGTAGCAATATGATTCCTCCATAGAATCATTTAATCATAAAATCACTGTAGAAAGAAGGATCCTAGATGGATCCTCAGCAGCCACCTGGATTTGACTTTAACGATAAGTTTGTTAAGACGAGCAAAAACATTTATATATCATTCTAAACTTGAATAAACAGCTTAATAAATCACTAATTTTCCCGTCCATTACAAATATGACTATGGGTAGTCTATTCAATTTTTTTCTTCGCAATTACAATAGCATTTCGAAAGATTTTTTTATCAACTTGAAAAACGACAACATTTTAGCTTTTAAATAAATTTTTATTTAGTTACGATCTTTGGTGTCCCAGAATTCGACTATGCCAAGAAAAGCATTTAAAAACTAATTATAAATTGTTGAATTATAAAAATGGCAGTGAATGTAGCAAAAAATTATTTTCACTTATAATCGACGCTAATAGTTTAGAAATGTTGATAGATTTATAGACGTATATGCGATGAAGATGACGATTTGGCTGAGGTATCACCTGAAGAAGTGCCTGATGAAATTCGTGAATGGTTGGCTGCAACATTTACCAGACAATCAGCAAAACGTGAAAAACCTAAATTCAAATCGGTCGCAAATGCTATCCGAACAGGAATTTTTTTTGACAAGTCGGTTATAACGTTAGCATTTAAATGCTTTGATTGAATTACGCGTGAAATTAATTTTATAATTTGATACTTTTCAGGTTATTTCGAAAAACTCAAATCGTACTTCCACCTATCCCTCCTAATATTGCAGAATTAATGGAGGTAATTCGATTTCAGTAGTTTTTTTCTTTTAAAAATATTCACCATTATTGGTTCGACTTACTGCTTTGGCTTTTCGCTTTAGACATGATTACCAGAGAATTCTCTTGGCGATAGAAGAACAAGTTAGCATTATACGGATTTTTGAACAGATTTATTCCTGCCAGGAGGAGAACTTTAACATTGGCGCATCGAACTATGCGATAATCCACTGAGCCATTCTATTCTCCTTTGTTTTTTTCCCTTATCGTTTGATGAAGAGTGCGGTACGCCAGTGAATTTTAATACAATCCTCGACTCTGCGATTGCCTTACCATTGAGCCACCGATGCACAATTTTGAATCTGACAGTGGATAAAATTTGCCAATTTTAGGAAATAAACAAGTGGTCATTCGATAGTTTCAAATTACATGAGATATCTCAAGGTCATTCATTAAAATATATGGGCTTTGAATTATTTACTCGTTATGGATTTTTTGAGCGATTTAAGGTTAATTATCAAATTCTTCAAAAAACCTATTTATAAGGCCTTAGAATTTATAAAAGAGATTATTTTTTTGTAAATTATTTCGATATCGAACAAAAATTTTCATTAATTAAGGCATTTATCAGTTAATAAATCCTGAAAAATTAATTTTTGTCCAGTGTATTTTAATGGAATCCTTACAAAATTACTGTGAGCTAACTGTTTAATAAAAAAAATATATATTCACGTAAAAAAAAATTTCCATTGAATTTAATTTTTTAAAGATTCCTTGGCAAACACTTGAAAATTTTCTATTAGCATTGGAAGTCGGGTATAGCAAACATAACAATCCTTATCATAATATTTATCATGCGGCAGATGTAGCACAATCATCGCATTTCATGATGTCTCAAACTGGTTTAGCAGTAAGTTTTGCAATTAACTGATTTCATTGTGATCTATGTGAATTTTTCCAACCAATAATTGTATCGAAAATTTTTGATAATGATTATTTGATCTAAAGATAAAGTATAAAATTAGTATAAATAAGATAATAAAACAAGAAATGAGAAAAATTCATTAAAATTCAATAACATTAATTTGAATTAATAAATTAATATTAATAGCAATAGCGATGAATTTTTAACAAAAAAAAACCAAAAAATAATAAATCAATCTCTTATCTTTATCATTATCATTGTTGTAAAATGTGTGATTTATATTCCGATAGGAAAATATTGTTGCTATCACTATCGAGTAGCGTTTCCCAAAATTTTGCTTCCTTAATTTGCCTTGGAGCATTTTTCAAGATAATTGCTTAATATTTAAATTGAATTTATGGCTATTTATTTGGATTTGAAAATTAGATACTTCACTATTTCTCAAGTATTTATTGCGAAATCAACAAAATATGTTTAAAAATTAAAAAAAACATTAGAAATTTTCGTAAACTTTACTTTAAGTGTAACAAATAAAATTAGAACTAAATTTTCGTGAATTGTGTTTTGAGCTTTTCTTTTTTAGAGGATTTTTTTAAAAAATATTTTCTATTTCCAAAATTTTTTAATTTTTTCAGAATAATTTAACTGATCTCGAATTATTCGCTGTAATATTCGCTGCTTGTATTCATGATTATGAACATACCGGTCATACGAATAGTTTTCATATAAAATCTGGGTAAATATTTTTTCCTTATTGAATATTCCTTATTGAAGCTTAGAAGAAAGAAACTAAAAAACTATATATATTTATTATACAAAAAATATTTTCTTTCTCGAGCTAAAACTCTATTTCAGTTCCGATTTTGCATTATTATATAACGATCGAAGCGTTCTTGAAAATCATCACGTTAGTGGAACGTATAGGTTGCTTAAGGATGATGATAAAAATATTTTGGCACGTTTCAGTCCCGATGAATATAGGTTTGATTGGATTTTTTATTTTTTTGTTTGTTTTTAAATTATATCAAATTTCATTTGAATTTTTATATAAGTTTTAATAATTTAAATAATTTAATAATAATTTAATTTAATTTAAATAAGTATTAGTAAAGTAATCTTTAAGTCCAATGAGTTGGTTACAACAATAAAAGCCTTAGGCTAAGATATTCGTTTTTATTCATAAAATTAGTTGGCTTTAATTTATAATCTATTCAGAGAACTTCGTAATCTCGTTATTGAAATTGTTCTCGCAACGGATATGTCAACACACTTTTTACAAATTAAAACAATGAAAAATATGCTAACTCTTCCAGATGGGTATTGTAATATTGTAATATTTCTAATTTATTGCTAAAATTTATGTTATTTTAATTTATAGCGTATTTTATCAATATTTATTAGTCTTTAGAAAAACAATCGGAATAAATTAAACTCAAATAAATAAATAAATAAAATAAGATAGGCAAGCTGTTCTATGGCTCAAAGTTCATTTATATTTGCTGAATTAACTTTTGCATTTTTGATTTATTTATCTTTTAGAATTGACAAAACGAAAGCAATCTGCCTAATTGTTCATGCATGTGACATATCTCACGCATCAAAGCCATGGAAATTGCATAAGCGATGGACGGAAGGTGTTTTAGAAGAATTTTTCCGTCAAGGTGATTTAGAGGCGAGTATGGGTTTACCATATTCACCTCTATGCGATCGGCATACGGTGCATGTCGCTGATTCACAAATTGGTGAGTTTTATATTTGAAGAAATATATTAGTATGAAATTATAATCAAAAATTTAACGAAAATTGGTATTTTAGGTTTCATAGATTTTATCGTTGAACCAACAATGGTTATATGTGGCGAGATGTTAATGAAAATGGTTGAACCATTAGTTTCACTCCCACCATTTTCAATGGATGCAAATAACCAAACTGCTGAAGGTGATAATTCGAATGAATCTGTGTAAGCAAAGTTTTTAATTCATTAATTGTTCAGTTAGTTGTAAGTAGAATTGACAGTTAATAGGATAGGTGCAAAAAAAAACATTGTGATCCAATCCTAATGTTAGAAGTATAGAATAGCTTAAAAGTTGCTGCCGATTCTGAGGTTCTATTTATCTTCTGGAGGAATAAGCCTATCCAAAAATCCGAGTGATGCTGACGACTCACCTATATTTCTATCGTCAAGGGACTTCCTGACATATTTATCTAATGCGACAAGCTAGCGATGCGAGTTTAACCAGTAATGTAGAAAGCTCATAAAAAAACCTAATGTCAGGTGCAGCAAATATTTTTTGGACTATTTGTTTGACTACATTTCGAGATGAATGGTTGATTTAATTCATTTGAATTCTTTTAGAAATTTTAAAAAATCTATGGTTGGTGGTTTTATCGGAATTCTCGATTCGTTTCAAAAGAAATTTGCACTTTTTTTCGCTTTTTCCAAATTTATTCCCATATTTTAAAAATTTCAGAAAGGATTCTCCAGCCCTAAAATTAATACGGTCATTGCCTCTTAATTATTTGGGTAAACTGGAAATTCCGGATCCATGGACAGCTTATATGCATGAAAACAAAGCTAACTGGAAAATACAAGCTGCAAAAGGCATGAAGAACTTTTAATTGTTTTTATTCAATTTTTCATCGCTACAGTGATAAGGGCGGTGATAAGAATTGTAAGGGTATTTAGCAGAAAATTTTGGTCAAATCACTTTCGTTTTATGAAGGGCTAAAAGATTTTATATGATATTAGATTTTTTAAATAAATAAATAATAGGCCAGATTTTTTTTCAAATCAGATAATTATGATAATTACTGACTTTTAAAAAATCGCTTATTAATCGGCCAATTATTTTATGATTCGATGAATGATTGTGAAGAATTTTAAAATTTTATCCTTTTTTTTTCAGAGGAAAATGAACGAAAAAAACAAGAAGAATGCGGCGAATAATAGTGCAATGAATTGTTTTTATTCCTAAATCGTCCACATTAATAGTTATAATTAAATATGCTAAATTAAATATTATTTTTAATTAAATATTTTTGCATTATTAATAAATACAATAAATATATAAATTAAATAAACATAAATATTTAATGTGTTTATTATTTATATGTGTTTATTATGTTTATTATGTAACCAATTCTTCGCAATCAAATTTTAATCAAAATAAAGCAATAAATATTGTTAATATTTTATAAAAATGAATTTTTGAATAATTCACTAATTATTTTAACTTTCCTAATTTTAAAATTTTTGTCATAAATTTGGTAAATATTGGTTTTTCAAAAAAATTGCTACTAATTTTTGTAAAATTTGGTTCATTTTTTTGCAAAAAATTCTGCAATATTTGTTTTATTTTATTTTAAAAGATTTATTATTAAAATAAATTAATAAATATCGAAAAATTTTTCGTCTAATTTCATAGATAATTAAAAATTCCTTTTTTTGTGAATCTTCGTAATACATAAGTAAATTTTATTTTTGTAAATAAAATTCTCCTTTTCTCCTTAATATTTTAATTTATGTATTTAGTAAGGGCAGTGAAATGCATCGAAGAACTTATTGGTTCCATTTTCAGTTAATTATGATTTCAACAACTTCAATTTTACGCCAAAACAATGAAAAATAGTGAATGAATTGTAAAGATGAAATTTTTTTCCAATTAATAAATTGCCTTTCATCTTTTTATTTTATTGCTATTACTAACTATTATTATTATCATTGTTATCAGTATATCAGTATTATTGTCACTGTCATTACCATTAACATTATTATTATCACTGATGCATTTCCCTATTAAATTTTGTAATATTGCATAATCATTCCATAAATATTGTCGCCTATTTAATTTCTTAGATTCATTTTGGTGTATTTATTCGAGTTTTGCTATTAGCGTCTATCGGTTATCAAGCTATATTTATATGAAGCAATATTTTATAAATATTATTTGTCGATAAAAACCAATTAAATTTCCTGTTTCTTCATCATTTCTAATTCGATTATTTACTATTTTCTTCATATATTTTGGTGAATTTTTAAATTAAGAAAAATAAGAATTATTTTTCATTACTTATTCGTTTCATAAGAATTAAAAATAATTACATAGAATAATATTAATTTATAATTTATAAATTAATAAATTATTTATTGAAATGAATTGTTTCCTGAAAAAAATCCATCAAAAAAATTTTCTGATTAAGATTATGCATAATACGCATTTTCTTTCTTCTGCAACATTTATCATTTTTTTTTTCCTCTGCCTTTATTTTAATTATTATAATGTAATTCCTTCACCTGAGAGGGTCCTTAGGAGCAAAGGTATAGTGGAGGTTTCCAGCGTCACTCACCAGTAAAATGGAAAGAATCATTGCTGTTTAAAGTTATATTAAAGTAGTATTGTCGATTGTTTAAAATCGCAAAAAAAGAGGAAAAAAATTCGTTGTAAGTAAGTAAATCGTCTTCTTTTAACTAAAATTCATCGAATAAAATGCTTCATTTATCGTTTTTCATTTTTTTTTTTAAGATTTATCGATAATCATTTCGAAAGCAAAGAACGATTAAATTTTTAAAACAAAATAAAATCTCAAAATAAATCATGAAAAATGAATAGAATTCCTCGCTTTTTTTTTCAATCTTTTAATTTAAAAAAATTATACAAAAATAATTTTCAATAAATAAAGCAATAATTTTTTATATTCAATGCCTTAGACAAATAAATTTTATGATTTAGTTTTAACATAAACGCGTGTTGAACATGTGGTGGACGATAAACGGAGAGGGCGAGATGAAGGAGAGGGGAATGTATGTGATTGGGAGGAATATTAGCTCGGGGATTTTTCCTAAAATTTTTCTTTTTATTTTATTATTCTCCAAATAAATTTTTGGTTGATTTTTTTTTTTTTTAGGTGTGTTATTTGCCTTTAAAATTGAAAATTGAAAAATTGAAAATTGAAAAAAATTGAAAATCTCTTAAATTTTATTCATTTTCTTTCTTTTAGTTCTCCTGAAATATTTAATATTTTAAAAGATTTAAGATAAGCTAAAGAATTAATTTATGGAAAATAGAATATTTCGAGGATTGAATATTTATTTACATAAAATTTTCTTCATCTGCAAAATTTTTAAAAATAATATTCGTTCTATTGCATTATTTATAATGTATAATGAAAAAAATTTGAGAAAATTTTGAAAAAAATTCGTAAAAAGTTTTGCATTAGCATTTTTTTTTCAGTAATTTATTAATAAAAGCACTATTTTTTTTTAATAATTTTGCTATTAATATGACTAATTTGTGACAATTTTGCTATTAATTTTGCCATATTTTTAAAAATTCGGCAATTAATGTCATTTTTTTTAATAATTAGGCCATTAATATCTCCGCTTTTTTGATATTTCCGCCATTAATACTACTACTTTGCGCCATTTCTGTCATTAAAAACTACTATGACCACTAAATATTTGTAACAATTCTTCTATTAATACCAATGCGTTATGATGATTTTTTTCTATTAAAATCACCATGTTATAAAAAATTTTTATGTGAAAATCTTTAAAATTATTCAAATTTGTATTCTTCGTGAATTTATTATATATTAAAAATAAACATAAATATAAATAAATATATAAACAATGATAAAAATAATGATAAAAATAAATATATTAAAAATGCAATTATATAAAGGAAATATTAAAAATATGAGTTTTTTATTTATAATTATGAATGATTTTATTATAGTTTTAAATATATATAAAACTTATAAAACGTATAAATATTTAAATATATATAATATTCATAATATAAATATATAATACCTTACTTACCACCCTCTGTGGGTGTGGTCGTGGTAATCCTCAACCTTTAATCTACCAGAGGCATGGGAGATTGCGGGTTTTCACAGTATCTTGGCTGTGGATGGATTTCACTTTTGGAAGGATATCTCTGGTTTTTTTTCACGAGATCTGATGAAGCCACTTTTTTAATTTGGACGTCGCACTTCCGAGTGCTTCAGTTATTGCTGGGATTATTTTCCACATTTCTAATTCTTCTTTCAGCCTTTGTTATTTCTCTAACTTCTCATATTCTTTCTTTCTGACGTTCCTATCACTTAGTGCTATATCTATCATAACTGCTGATTTTTGGTTCTTGTACATTACCATGATATTTATTAGTTGGCTAATATTTGTTTGTCTATCTGGATGGAGTCGACGATTTTCTGGAAAGTACCATTTAGTCTTAAGAGAGTTTAAGCTATACGCTGAATGACTTTCTGGGAAGTACCATTTAGTCTTGAGATATACGTTGATGTTTCTCTAGATGATGCCAGCTACTTAGTTATGTCTTTTTATGTGTGTTGTTCCTGCTTGCATTTCACATCTATTTTATACCTGCTACTATATGTTTCTTCTGGAACATTTTTGCACAATCTGTATTAGAGTCTTGTCTAGTGTGGTAGATCCATGTTTCGATGGATCTGATTTTTAGTGTGCCTTCTCCTGTGCTGCTATAATCAATGTTTCAGTGTTGCCTTTTAGTTTGGTTTTACCACTGGTAGAATAATTTATATATATATATAAAGATCCACTTCCTTGGCCATGGCCAATGATCTGGCCAAATCAATTGCCTATATATAGGTATATAAATCAATTTTATTAATGAATTTTAGAAAAAATTTAGTAGTTTTAGAAACAATTATTTTTGAAATGAATTACATAAATCGGATGTTTTCATTTTGTATTCTATAAAACTTAAAAAATTTTCATTAATTTGGCTTATTTATTTGGTTTATTTAATGAAAATTAAAAAAAAAATTGTTTTTTTAAACATTAAAAAAACATTAAAGAAAAATGTAAAATGAAATTTAAAAAAAAAGTTAAAATTGCGCTTCTAAGGAAAATTTCTAACATGCAATGGTAGATATTTAAAATATTTCTTAAATATTTTAAAACAATTTAATATGCATAGCTGCTAATAAAAATTAGAATTTATAGCTCCTTCTTTTTCTTCTTACTAAGATCCACTTCCTTGGCCATGGCCAATGATCTGGCCAAATCAATTGCCTACTATAGCCGCACCATAGTTGTTTGTAGAGGGAGAGAGAAATATGCTCTCAGTATCATTCGAATTTTATTTTCAGTGATAAATTTTTTTCAGTGATAAATTTTTGCTAACGATGAAAGTCGTAATCTTTTATGAATTTAGTCTAAACAATCTTATTTTGATGATTTTTAATGACCAATATTTTTGAAAAATCTAAAATTGTGATTTTAGAGAAAAGTATTAGAGTAAACAAATTATAAACAAATAAATTTGTATAAAGCGATTTCCGAAAAAAAAATCGGGAGAAAATAATATTTTTCAAAAAAAAATCATTCTTAAGGAGTTCAATAAATAAAATTTTTCAACTATTCTCTCAATCACCAATTCAGCAATTCAGCAATAACCACCAGTCGAGCAAATGCACCAGCAATCCGGAAATTCTGTTCAGTTTTATCAGTCCAGGGAGATATTTTATCAATTAAGCTCGCTGATCTATGATTTACAAATCCATTTCAATTTTGAAATCATTCGAATTTGAATAATTTAATATTATTATTCAACTCTATTTTTGAAAAATTTTTT